CCCCAAAACCCCAAAACCCCAAAACCCCAAAACCCCTCACAGAATTTTGATTATTGAACAATAAATTTTAATAAGTTTCCTCAAAAATGCAAAGTTATAGCGATACTAGTTCAATGTTGAGTGACGAATTCATGAATATTCCTACAACTAAACTTACTGATAAAAAGGATATCCAAAATATTGGCCTTAAGCTTAGTAGAAGGATTCATAAAATTAAAAAGTTTAAGAACAAGGGAGTTATCCAAGCGATCAACGCCTACTTCAATGAGTACATTGAGACTACTCCGAAAAGACTTCCTACTATCCGTCGAATGAAGCTCAAGCCAAGGGACTTTGTGAGGAAATCCAGCCTTGCATCAGAAAGCCCAAAGGCAAAGGATTACATTCAGGGAAAGCTGAAATAAGTTTGGACTACTTAAGATTGACCGTAAAAACAAGCTCTTGGTCCAATTTAATAAGGTAAGTTTTACTCTGTTAGTCTGCAAAAAGGCTTTCCCAACACTTCCTTATATTGTCAATACAAGGTTGGTCACTTGAAGCATGAGTTATAACCACTTTCAATAGGCATCAAGCAAAAATAAGATAAAATCCTAAGTTGAGCCAGTCTCCAGTACACAAGTCCAGCCAAGGGAAGATAAACCTCGCTTCAATGGGCTTAGACTTGTCGAATACCCTTCAAGTGAATAAGCAGAGGTATTCCTCTGTGATAACCCGGGTAGAGAATTCGCCTAAAAAGATGGCAAACCGAACTGGTGAGGGTGCTTAGTTTATAAATATAGGAATACGGTATGGTAAAGGGCAAAAGATGTCGAAAATTCTGAAGATCAACACAAAGCTTAAGTCAATTTACAGAGAGCAACTGAATTCCCCTAATATGAATTATTTTAGAAACAGTTCAGTGCCAAAGAGGTAAGTTGGGGATTTCTTAGGAATATAGGTCCAAAAATATAGCAGATTCTATGAACTTTCCCCAGAATATATCCCAGCTGAGCCTTGACTCTGAACAGTCCGGCATGCAGAGCATTAAGAAGAACAATGAGTTCACTGAAAAGTTACAGAACAGTGTACACATCCCTTCTAGCCAGGTGTCAAAGAATGGGTCTGAGTTGAATGAGAAAATAAAGTCGTTCTTTCCTCAACTGGATTGTGCTAAAAATTCATCACTAGTCAGTTTCCTCTCGAAGCAGCCGTTGGGAGATAAGATAGAGACCTTTAATCACAGGAAACACTCATTGGTGTTAAACACAGAGCTTGAGGTATCTCACTGCTGATATTAATAGAGCTTATTTAATATTAAGGAAGGGCCTCTGAAGAATAACGTTAGTCAGACTAAAAAGGCCAGGAATAAGAAGTCATCACTGGGTAAGTGGCTCTAGGGCTATCCTGACTGTTTCTATAGGGCTGTTCTTTGATCTAGAGTCAAAATAAGCCAATTTATGACATGACAGTGTACTCTAAGGTTCTCAACCAGCAGTTGACAAAGGTATTTTAATGCTGGGGCTTGATTCAATCTCAATTTAGATGGACAACCAATTCTTGCAGGACAAATACAAAGCATATCTAGGTATATTTTCATGGTAATTTCTTAGAGACTAAGAAGAAAAGGATGAAGCAGGTGAGGAACTCCACCAGATTCTAATACTTCAGGACATGCTATAATTTTTTAATTTACAAATTCAATCACAAGGAATATCGAGGGGTTTTGGGGTTTTGGGGTTTTGGGGTTTTGGGG